ATATTGGTATGTTAATCAGCATCATCGTCGTGTTATATCACCAACTTGCTCTTGGTATTCCTTAACTTCTCTGATGATGTGTCCTATCCAGCCTAAGCTTTGGAATTTAGTTAGTTTCACTATATCTTCATTTCCTAACGCTTTTTTTTATTTTCTTTGTTTCTTTTTAATCTTCTTTCTATGTATGAGGTGTTATCAGGTTTTAACATTATTATTAATATTTTACTTTCAGATCTTCTTAAGTTTTTTTGTTGATCACTGTTGTTTTCATCGCGATGAACAATGAACATTATATGGCTCTACAGCTCAATTCAAGCCCTGACTTTCCCCACCAAACCTCTCCATTCGTTACGATTTCTGGAGTCCTCATCCACATCACCCTCCCATCGATTTCTTGGTTTTCCAATAGGAGGTCTCTTCCCTATGCATTCTTGCATTCACCATTTTTTTAAGTCTGTTTTCTTCATCCTAAATGCATTTATAGGACCTAGTATTCCTCTGTACCTTCCTTTCGAAGATGTTTATGCGGTTTACAGGTTTTTTAGTCTTTTGCTTACTTTTAGCTTATAATTTTTTTTTATTAGTTGACATACTTGTTCGTTTATTTTCCTCTTCATATTTTATCAGTTCTCTTCTGTTTTCTTCTTCCCTTTCGTTGCTTTCTTTCTCATGTTTCTTTTTCATTTGTATTCATGGTCCCGCTCAGGTTGTTGAATCTTGTTACTTTTAAATTTAAACTTTAAACTTGTTACTTTTTTATTGTTTTTATCAGTTTGTATACAATCTTTTCGTTTCTAGCCCTTTGTCAGTTTTATATTGCTTTTGTCACTTTTTTCTTTGTTGGACACTTTGTTTCTTTTTCTCCCCTTCTCTCTCTTTTTGAGATTCTTCGCTCTCGATGCTTTCTTTCTCATTATTTTTATTTCTCCCCTTATTTAGGATTAAAGAAGTTATGAAATGAGGATAGCAAAAAGGAAAAGATAAAAGAAGCTACATCTTAAAAAATGAAGAAAAATGTGCAGCAAATTCATCAACAGAATGTCTCAATTTCTGGTTAGCAATACTGTAAGATGAAGTAAGTGCAATAAGAATATACCAACTGAGTGGAAACTTTGACGTAATTTTAATTAATTGATTGGGGAAAACTTATTGAATTCCTTTCCTCAAAGAGTACAGTATCTAGTATTTTAGGAACTGTTAAAAGATATTTCTTCTATATAACTTACCAGACTTCAAGGAGTTGATTCAGTATGTGCTTTTGGTTTTATCAAGTGTTACTTAACAGAAAAATAGATAGTAATCGAGTACATTTAATATCAACAGAATATTTTACACAACTATTACGAAATAAAAGAGTTTGTTTTACAAAATTGGGCTTTTATATACCGGGGTTTGAATATCGTGCGAAATAGCGAAACTGATACACTGTTCACTGCATTTTGGAGAGAGAGCGACACACACTGGATTAAAGACCAATCCGACTGCAATCTGCGATTTTGGCCTTACAAATTTTTTACCAACTATTTTACCTAAAGGTCCTACACAGCTGCTCTTATAAAAGGACCAACTCATGTGGCTCTTTAAGACGAATATTTATGTAGACAAGAAGTACAGTCTGTCACATAAGATTCAAACCAATATTTATGAAAACAAAAAATCACCTAATATATCTTATCAAAATTAGATGCTATAGCATCACATTTATTATCGTTTCATTCTACAAAAAGTATTGCTCCATTTACATCAAATCTAAAATCATGAATGTGTTGCTTGTGTGAGTCCATTTCAAATAGGTAAAGAAATAATAAATAAGACTTACTCACAATCAATTTAATTTAACTATCAGACGACCGGTTTCGCTTTCTACAATATGCAAAGCATCTTCAGGTCTCGATACAAAGTTAAACAAATGCTAAAATGATAAAGACCCATATTAGGTGTTGTCTAATAAAGATAAACAAATTAGATGTTATAAATTACAATAATTATGCCAATATTACCTGTCTGTGGTTTTATTTAAATGATTAAAACCACAGACAGGTAATATTGGCATAATTATTGTAATTTATAACATCTAATTTGTTTATCTTTATTAGACAACACCCTAATATGGGTTTTTATCATTTCAGCATTTGTTTAACTTTGTATCGAGACCTGAAGATGCTTTGCATATTGTAGAAAGCGAAACCGGTCGTCTGATAGTTAAATTAAATTGATTGTGAGTAAGTCTTATTTATTATTTCTTTACCTATTTAAATCTAAAATCATTTGATCTACGAGCTTCTTTACCAAGAGTTTTTGCATCTTGTATAGGACACTTCGATAATCTATTTTACCGCAAGATTCCTGTTACTCGACATCCACATTTTTGTAAATGAAATAATGAATCGCCGCTGGTAAAGTTTAGCAGTAAATGGTTGACTTCAATGAAATTAAATTACTAAATTAGTATCGACTATAAACATTTTGGGTTAACAGATAATAGTATAAAAGGTCCGGTTTCAGGTAACAATGGTTTACCTGAGGTACAAGGTCTTAACAATAGACCAAGTCAGATAAATTTAATAATACTTACGACGGTACTAGTTTTTTTTTTTCCTGAAAAATGGCTTTGGCAGAGCCAATTAGCCAGACTTATTTGTGTTGATTGTTAAAATCGACTGAATTTTAATTATTATAGATTGCAGATTCATAGTCAAAATTTTCTTATCAGTTATCAATGTTATTAAATTAATTAATTAAATAATTAATTAATTTAATTAATTAATTAAATCAAACGGCACTAGTTGAAGTCAACCATTTTCTGCTAAACAAACTTTATGTAAATTATCAAAACTATCCAGTGCTTTACAGGCTCAGAAATGCAATCTAACACATCAAGTACTACTCTTGGTCCTTGATCAAAGACAAATTTTCTCAATCATTCTTAGCGATTGTTCTGTCAGTATAAAAGTCAAAATTATAATTTGTCGTTACCTCCACAAAGAGCCTAAAATTTAAAGCCGAATCGAATCTTTGAATCCTCTATCGTTTTTATATATAATTGTTTCTTTCGCAATGTGTTCCAATAAATTATTTGTAAAAAACTTTTAAACATTTCAGCAGTAGTTTTTTCTATATGATTATTTACCAAATTTTGACGATTTTCATTATACAATGATCCTTAAGGAAGTGGAAATTTTCTGTAAACTAGTCTGTCTGTACTGTTTCTAACTGTTCAGTACCCCTCTTTTTTTATTGTTTTTATCAGTTTGTATACAATCTTTTCTTTTCTAGCGCTTGTCAGTTTTATATTTCTTTTGTCACTTTTTTCTTTGTTGGACACTTTGTTTTTTTTCCTCCCTTCTCTCTGTTTTTGAGCTTCTTCGCTCTCGCTACTTTCTTGCTCATTATTTGTATTTCTCCCCTTATTTAGGATTAAAGAAGTTATGAAATGAGGATAGCAAAAAGGGAAAGATAAAAGAAGCTACATCTTAAAAAATGTGTAGCAAATTCATCAACAGAATGTCTCAATTTCTGGTTAGCAATATACTCCAAGGAAGTGAAAATTTTTTGTAAACTCGTCTGTCTGTACTGTTTCTAACTGTTCTGTATTTTTTTTATTTAAATTTCTCTTCTATACGATCAAGATTTTTTTTTCTATTTACTTTTTTCGATACCATTCTTCAGAATATTTCAGCGCCCAGGTTCATTATCAATAGACTCATCGATTTCGGACGATTATACATATTTTGATGATTTGCATTTTACTACCAATTCTCCAGGTATATCCTTAACTTAAGCTGTACGTAGTAAGTCAGCATTAGCCTCATCTTTATCTGTTAAATAATGATAATAAGTAAGTGTCGATATGAAACTCTTATTATTAAATACACTTGATCTAATTTATATAACGATGCACGTCATCGGCGTCATAGCCTGTGACGTCATATGATACCAACACGAAATATTTAGGGTTTAGGTGTGTTCTTTTTTAGAATCACTTTACCGAGTACACTGGCATTACAGCCACTAGACATATTTTATTATATACGCGTTGAAATAATATTTAAAAATTTCTATTAATGTTAACTTAAAGAAATACACAATAATATGTTTCATTTAATTTGTATAAATCCATTATAAAGAGTTTTTATCAAGAACATTTGTTTGGAACACACTGTAACTGTAATCGAACGAAGGTAAAATTTTGGCATAAATTGGTAACACTTATTTGACAGTTGCGGTGTTGACACTTTTTGTACTTTATTATTTTAAATTTTAAAGTGAATACCTCTTGTTTTATATTTTTACCTATTTAATAAAATCTGTTCTTTTTAGAACAAAATTAGTGTGTTTTATTTCAAAAATGTCACGTAAGAATTTAAATAGTCGTTGTAAAGAGATGGTAATACTTTTGCAATAATTATGTGACCTATTTGATTTAAAATGGAGTCAGGATTTTTTTATACTTTGGCAACTATGTCAACTTCGATCTCTGACGTAGATAATGACGTAAGTCGTTATCTAAATTAGATGAAGTATATGTAAATCTAAACAAAGTCAGCAAATTTATCTAATGTTTATAATTGTTTTATTGATAGAATATTGGTAATAAATTACAACAAAAATTATAATTGAGTTTACTAAAACCCGAAATCTATGGTAAATTTTTCTTTAAATTTTAATAAATTTTAAGAGTTAAAAAATAAAATTTTCAGTGTCCTATAAATAGGATGCTGGACTATAATGACTTCTGAAAACACTCCAATGTCCACTAACTAGTTACAACATTAACTAGTAAAGAATTAGTGAAAATTACTGAAAAAAAATTAAAAAAAAACCTAAAAAGATGGCTACTTTAATAATAATAAAAAACATCGTGTAGAACAATGCAATATATACACTTCTGCATTAAACCGGTTTGGAGTATTTTAACTTCTTTCTTATAGCACTACAATAAGTTCTTCTGTATCCCATGATTATTATTATTGTATGCTTTAAGGTCGTAAAAAATAATTAACGTTGTTTTAGTAACTTTTATTACACTTATTTGAGATATTAGTAATTTTTAACGTATAAATATATAAGAAAGCATTCTGTTATGTATACTAGATAACAATAATAATCTTATTGCACATTTTAAACTTAGATAATATCGAAAACTAGTATACTGCCAAATATCGATACCATTTCTCTTATTACACCTTTGCAAATCACATCTTTAGCCGAATAACTTTTCAAAGCAAGTATGGCAATAAGGCTTATCGTTTTGCTCTTTGAATGTGCCTTTGTTCAGTTGCTTCAAACAGAAAGCACACACGAAGTGTTCAGGATGGAACTTCCTAAACATGGCTGTAACGCAGCGACCAGAAATGGGTTTATGGCATCCTGCACAAAGAGAGCCTCTTTTAAGATGGTAGTGGGTCTCGCAGTAAGGTTGACCTTCATGGTCAAAGAAAGATCCTCCAATAAATGGTTGTCTGCAATCCTAAAACATAAAAAAAAGTATTAAAATTGTATAAAGGAGACATTTACGATTACTCATACTATTTATTTATTTTAAACAACCTTATGAGTCCATAGCACGGAACATGTATTATGAAAGGTAATTATCAGTAATTCCAAAAAAAACCAGCTCTGTCTCTGACTGAAAAACCTGTTAACAGCGCTATTTAATATAGAGTTGGAACAAATAATTAGAAAACAAGCATGCATAGGATTCTCAGACGATTTGGAAAAGTAAGGAACAGGAATAGTCCAATAGATTGGATTCCAACTTGTACTAAAGAGATATAACATGAGAAATTCATAAAAATATGATATAACCAATAACAACTTTGTTTAGAAATTTATTTCATGTTATCATATAAATCCTTTTAATATAATTAACACAATTGGCAGTTTGAGATAAAAGTCTAGTGATATAGGATTGATTTCTTAAAAAAAACATATTTTATGATTTTTTCTGTAATCAAAACAAAATTTTAATAACTATATCGGTATTTTAAATGTGATGTTTGTTTAAAATATATGAATATGTTTATACCACTCGCTTTTAGATTTTTAAAAGAAAATTTCTCAATAATCAATCTATGCTGAACTTTTTTTTTATTTTTTAGTGCCCTCCTACTAGGAGAATTTATATTACAAGTTAAACATTGCAGATTCTGAATAAACAGAGCTTGGGCAAGTATTGCGTGTGGGCAAAGTTTAGTCTATTTATTTATTTGAATAAGAAGGCTCTTTCTGTTCTTACAGTATATTTTAAGAATAGTAGATCTTCTGTTTTAAACACCAAACTACATGGGCGTAGATACAGAGAAGTTTCTCAAATAGTTTTCAACAAAATTGTTTTTCAGATCATAATTACATACTTTCTTACATTTTTAAGCTTGTATGACACATTTGCCAAGATTTTTAACAATTTTCATATGCAAACATAATAAAAAATATCAATATTGGGCGTAGATAAAGAGAAGTTTCTCGAACAGTTTTCAACAAAAATATTTTTCAGATAATAATTACATACTTTCTTACATTTTTAAGCTTGTATGACTTATTTGCCAAGATTTTTAACAATTTTCATATGCAAATATAATAAGAAATATCAATATCTTTTCCTTGTATATTCTTTCCATTGTGCTTCCATTCCCATTAATGCCGTCTTTGTCTTGTTTTCATTTCTTATATTGTTTCTTCTAGTGTAACCTTTTTCGCTATTCTAAACATACAATAGTAGACTAAACGCAATAGTGGAGCCCTACGTCTCCACTGTATATTGCGTTCTACGAGAACGTGGTTGTCAAATTTGCAGATTCGATACCAAATCATCAACATTACAAGTTGTTTTTTGACAGTTGGTTTACCAGCATACCTCTTATGATATATCTGAATTAAGAGGGCATTTTACCTTTGGGAACAGTAAGAGTTAATCGTGTTCCTGGAGTTGTGATGCCAGTTGAGAAAGAAATGAAGAAGCGCGGCAGAGGTCATATGGTAGAGAAAATAGCCAATACAGAAATCACTGTAGTGTTCTATTTGATAATAAAATCGTTACTACAATGTCAACATATGCTGGAAGTGAACCAAAGGGAGAAAATAGAAGATTTTTCAAACAAGAAAAATTGTCCTAACAGTGTCCTAATCTACAACAACTACATGGGAGGTGTAGATCTCCTTGATTCTATGTTAGGATTTTATCGTATAAAAATCAGGTCCAAGAAATATTATTTACGAATATTTCTTCATTTCATTGACATGACAGCCGTGAACTGTTATGTTATTAGCCAAAAGAGCGAAGAACTTTGATTTGCCCCTTTTGGATACCAAACTAGCAATAGCCGATGCTATATACAAAGCCGAAAACCAATTAAACAGAACAGAGTAGGAAGACCGTCCAGTAGTAGCATTCCACAGATGTACGAGAACAAATGAAAAAAGGAACCCACTAAAGAAATACCCAAGAAGACATCTGTAAAGATGGGCTTGATCATTTTCCCTGTTGAGATGAGAGCACTAGGTCAAGATGCAAATTTCCAGGCTGTACAGGGAAAACATATATAGAGGTTGACCAAAATGCACAATACCGTTGTGTATTAATAAAGAAAGAAGCTGTTATTTGCAGTTTCACACTGTATAGTGTATTATCACACACAAAAACACACCGTTAAAGACATCATGGTTCTAAACAGATTTGTTACTAGTAGCGATCATAGAATGGTACAAGGTAAAATAGAAATAAGCTTAAAGAAGGAGAGGTATAAAATGATTAAAAAGAAGAACAAATCAAAACCATGGATGAAACCATCAGATGTAGATAGTTACGAACTACAAAAATTAAACAAAGAAATATCCAAAGCTGTTATACAAGACACTCAAAAATACAACCAAGAACAAATGATAAAAAGACTAAGAACGGGGACAAGGCAGATAATAAAGATTAAAGATAGAAATAGTCAGCTTACAACCAACAGAGAGGAAACCCTTAAAATAGTTGAAAACTTCTACAAATTGCTGTACACTAGTAAACACAAAGCAAATAGCAGAGAAGATCAAGTACCAGAAATATTAACAAAGAAAAAGGGCATTACAACCAAGGATCAGAACTACTACCGGAAATCACAATGGACGAAATAAAACGCTACGAAAAGCTAAGAATAACAAATCTCCAGGCGAATGTTGTGTAGTTACTGATGCGATCAAAATCGGAGGCACTTGCCTACTTAGGAAAATAAAAAACCTTTTTAACATGTGCCTTTTAGATAGTAATATACCCGACCAATGGCACAATGCTGAGGTAATTCTATTGTACAAAAAAAGAGATCTCCATGAATTAGAAATCTACAGACATATAGAAGATAATTAGAAGTTGTTTTGCATCGGATGGGAAAAGTTACGGAAGTCGTCAAAAATCGCAAACTTGAATATTTTGGCCATGTTATGCGCCACCCAGAGAGATATAATATACTCCATTTAATAATACCAGGTTCGGTAGACCGAGGTCGAAGAAGAACGTCATGGCTTAGAAACCTGAGAGATTGGTTCAAGAGATCCTCTGCATCTCTTTTCCGAGCTGCGGTCAACAAAATTACTATAGCCAATTTGATAGCCAACGTTGGATAATCGAGCACAGCACATGAAGAAGAAAAAAGACAGACCTATAAGTTTTCTTAGTCACGTATACAAACTCTTTACAAGAATAGTAACGAATCATCTTGAGAAAAAACTTGATTTCTATCAGCCAATAGAGCAAGCGAAATTTCGTACCGGATTTGGAATACATGATCACCTACAGAGCATTAAAACGGTAATAGAAAAGACTATCAAATACAATCGACCACTTGTTCTGGCTTTTGTAGATTTCCATAAAGCCTTTGATACAGTAGAATTTGACAAAATCCTGGAAGCACTACAAGCATGCCGCATTGACTACTGATATACAAGGTTAATTCATAATACATACAAGAACGCAACTATGTTGGTGAAACTACATGAAAACACGGATCACATCCCAATCGGCAGAGGAGTCCGTACATGAACTTCAGTTCATGTGTGCCAGTGTGGGTCTTAAAATAAACATATCCAAAACAAAATTCATGACAAACTTAGTACCTAGTAAAAATATCAATATTGGAGACAACGAAGTAGAGCTGGTGGAAAAATACATATATCTTGGACATAGATCACAAGAGATAACCAAACATGCGAACTAGGAGGAAGAATAAACCTAGCATGGGCAGCCGATGGAAAACTCAAAGACATCTTTCAAAGCGATATACCAATTTCTTTAAAACGTAAAACATTTGACCAATGTGTGTTGACTGTGATGACCTATGGTGCCGAAACTTTGACATTGACAGCTACAAGTTCTAAAAAGCTGCAAATAGCTCGGAGGAAAATGGAAAGGTTAATGCTGAGTATATAGCTTCGTGATCGAGTTAGAAATGAATGCTTAAGACGAAGAACAGGAGTTACCCATGTAATTTCCTGAATTTCCACACTGAAATGGAACACGTCGCTCGAATCAGTGATGAAGGGTGGACGAAGAGATTGCTTATGGGGGAGGCCTATGTCCAGCAGTGGACGCAAAGGACTGGATGATGATGACTGTATAGTGTATATTGTAGCTCCAAAATAGTTTGACTTTAATATTACATTGTTGCATGATGTTCCATATTTGGCATCAAAAATTTTTTTTTTGTCAATAAAGTTTTGCTCGTGTGTAGATTTTTTTCAATATTTTTATATAAAAATAGAATAAAAATTCTTATTTGAGAATTTGGTCTTGACAAAAAACAAAAATTCATGCGGTAAAGGGTTAAATGGTAAAATAACCATCTCCTCAAAGTATTATTCCAACAAAATATCCCCTTTCGCGGCGCCTATGCGTAAAATATCTTACAGGTATCTGTCGCTCTCTAGAAGCTCATCAGCACCTGCTTATTTTCATCATATTTTATTTTGAACCTTTCACAATTTAAAAAGAGAACCACAAGCATAACAGCACAAGATCAAAACTTTAAAAATAAATTTACATGAGCGTCGACATTCTAAAAATATTCTTGGCTTCTAAAACTGTCATTAAGAAAGTGTAATATATTCACTCCATACTGTGAATAAACCGATAAATTACGGAGTTTGAAGTCTACATATTACATAGCCACCTATTGTGCTTGTAACTTGTGGTCCCATTTCAAATATTTGTGTTTTTTGTTTTTTTTTAGTGTTTTATTTTGTTTTATTTTTTATTTGTTTTATTTAATAAAATAAAATACAAACGATATACTTTATACAATAAAATTCAAGGGCTAGAGGGCATCATTTCGGGGAGGGGGTGTATAGATAGAGAGGGCATATTTTTGGGGCGGCGCATTTACTCATCTTCTTCTTCGTCAGCTCCAATGCAACCAGGACAAACTGGTTTGCCTTCCACTGCGTAAAACGACTTTCCTTGTACTGGCAACTTGCAGTCCTATTAATTAACAATGTAAATTTATTTATCATATAAACAAATAAATGCTGAATAGATAAAATTGTTGCTATACTAACCCTGCACACGAAGCAATCAGGGTGCCATTGGGCGTTGAGAGCTGAAATATAATTTTCCATGATGGCACGGTTGCAAGCTCCGCATTTTGGGGCGAACATGTCAAAGTAGTCGTCACGACAGTATGGCTTTCCTTCACGTTCGTGGAATCCTTCTTCTCCAAACTGTTTACCACATTGGGCGCAAAAGAAGTGGTCCATGTGCCAAGTCTTCTCTAGAGCTGTTACGCATTTCTAAACAAAACAAATAAAATTCAATAAATAGTTATACATATAACAGTATTGTTTGGTGAATGCCATCAGAGTCCATAAAAATATTTACTGGAATAATTAATAAGTGATTTTATAAATTCTTATACCATACAATTAATTATTATTCCAAATTGTTTTTTTTTTCACTTTTTCACAAAATTTGTATTTTATCACTCTATAATAAGCACTGATGACATTCCCAAATAGCACGATAACACCATTAGATGTAATTTTCCATGATGAATCAACAGGTGGTGGTTTTAACGTACGTCTAAAATAGGTCCGTTGCAATAGGCACATCTTGGGCTGAAAAGATTGTGATAGTCTGGTTCACAATAGGGCTTTCCTTCCCTTTCGAAGAAGTTTCTGGTACCCAATTCTTGGCTGCAATGGGCGCAGGTGAAGTGTTCTGGATGCCAGGTCTTGCCTAAAGCGGTGATGACTTGACCTACGATAGGTTTGTCACAGGCGCTGCAGCATCCCTTTTGGCTGGTGTTGACTCCTTGGCGGCTCATGTCTGCTTGGAGGTTTCCTAGCATAGAATCCAAATTCTGCTTCGGTGGAGGAGGGGCACTCTGTGTTTGAGTGGCCTTTATTGGGCGGGCGTATTGCGAATCGGAAACTGTATGATGCTGAGGCCCTTGATTCACCTGTAAAATAAAAATGAATTAGCGAGGAAAATCGAGCGAAAATTTCGCAACTAACCGCCTCTCCAGCAGTTGAATAATAAACTGATGGCTTGCGGCCTATTTTATTTCTTAACGAAATTTAGTAAGTCCCACGTCCACTCCCCACCGCCGCATTAACCTGGATGTGCGCCTGGACATTTTTTGTGCAGGGTCAGAGAATCGTTTACGTTTCTATCGTGCATCCTTTTTGTTTCTACGAGATCAAACGGCGAGAGCGAGGCGATGTATTTCGGTAAAATACAACGTGCAGTTATTTCGGGAACGTTTCAAGTTAGAATTATGTCACAAATTATAATAGAAGCGCGCTCCGCAAGATCGTGGAAAATATCGTGTATGCCTTCGTTAACGCAAAAGAGAAATATGTGCAGATTGTCTCTTAAAAAAATGCAAACAAAAATTTAAAATTATTTTTTCTATGAAGTATATAAATTATAGTATAACAATATTTTTATTTGAATTTTCAAGTTACGTCGAAAAACTCAAAAAAACCCTTACATTTTTTGAAGTTTCAAATTTATATACAAAATGTTTCTGTTATTAAATTAAACAAACTTACTGTAACGACGAAGTTAACGTGCTAACAATATTAAAGTAGTACTGGAAAATTGCAAAGAAAATAACCATAAGTGTAATAATTTGTTAGTGAATTCGTTGGTTTTCAAAACGCTGTTTTTATGTCTTTAATTCTTTACAATATACTTTTTTTTAATAATTATAGTCTCCATTTATACCGCTAGTTCAACTTTGGAATTATAGTAGGGTAGTCTGCTACTTCTTGGGCCTGTGGTATGCAAGGAACATTTATGGATTTATGGACTATTATTACACTTGGCTTCACCAAAAGCACTCATTTTATTCAGGCTGAGTCGACCTGTGGGCTGTAGATACGAGGGTTGTCTTTTTAGTTTTGTCTATAGCCATACAGACAAAAAATATAAAGTACTTTTCAAAATATGTCCCACCAAGATCGATAGACTTTCGCAAACCAATTATGGTAAAACAATTATTCCAGTCTTAAGTTGACACCTGCAAAATCGCTGTTTTGAAGGCCTCTTCTTTGGCTTTTTCTGGTGACTGAAATCGCTACTGACGCACTGAATTTTTGATCTTTGGAAACGTGAAGAAGTCTTTGGGAATATACGATGGATGGTTTAACAATTCGATGTTTTGAAGCTCCAAAAATTCTATTATCGTTTGGGCAGTGTGAGTACTTGCCTTGTCCTGATCTAGGATCATTCGTCGTTGTGTGTTGCTTTGTAGGATTTTCACGATAACTTCTGGTAAACAAAAGGTTATATAAAAATCAGAAGTAACTGGTCTTCGTTCTTCTAAAGCAATTTTTGTTACATGACCAGATTTTGACCCAAAAGTTGCGACGATTTTCTTTGACATACTTCGAAAACGGATTACTTTTGTTGGTTTTTCCTTATCCTCAAACACCCACACAGGGGATTGGCGTTTATTTTCCGGTTCGTAGGAGTAAATCCAAGATTCATCACCACTAACAATATTATAAACCTTTTTTGGGCTTTCTTGTTGAACCGTTCCAATGTTTATTCGACATCAATTGACGCGAACTGCTTTTTGTTCTGCTGTGGGCAAATGAGGGATCCACGGGAAACCAACTTCGTAACACCCAGTTCTTCAGTAGGATCCTTTGGTTCGAGGTCTTGAAATGCCCAAAGATGCCTCTATCTCCCGATATTTTACACGGCGGTCATCCTCAATTAGCTGACGAACCACATCAATATTTTGCTGTGTGACTGCTGTTTGAGTGGACCTGGCCTGGATTCGTTACTGAGACTGGAGCGACCAAGTTGAAATTCGCAATACTAGCGGGAAATAGTTGACTGATGTGATGCTTCATTCTCAAACACAGAAACCACTTCAGCGAAACATTGCTGTTGGGATAATCCATTCCAAAAATTGTAAAAAATTATTGCTCGAAAATGTAGATTTTTTTATTGTAACATTGCATTCTTAGAATCTACTCTATACAGAGAGTAATAAGTAAATAGTCTGTAAGTAAATTAACGTGAGTTAATCCAGTGACGGATCTCTTAAGTATTATTGCGGTAGGTTTCCTGGCCATACTCTCTTCGGTCTTCTTTCGGCAAGTGGTTGGGCAAATAAATTATTTATCAGTTAGTTGTTGTGGCCAGTGGTGCGATTTTCATATTTTGTTAATTTATTCTTTATAATGTCCTCAATTAGTGGGATGTCCAGATCATTGTGAAGTGTGTGGTTAGATACATACCATGGAGCGTTACTTATCATGCGGAGTATTTTGGATTGGAATGAACAAAAGGTTGAGGTTACATTTGTGTCGGAAGATTTTATTGGTGGCGCCCTCTAAGCGGCTGTATGCATAACTAAAAAGACAAACCTCGCATTTTTAAAAATATCTAGATGTTTCCGGTAGCAATATCACGATTATTAAGCAGTTTCTTAATTTTTATGAAAATGGACATAACAATTTCAATATGTATTTTGATCGCGATATTTTGATCATTTGCCTCGTTTATTGTAGCTGCCAGGTCTTTATAATTATTCATCGTTTAGATGAGAATTAATTGAATTTTTCAAGATCATATACGTGGTTTTCTTGGTATTAATTGAAGATATGAGTGGATAAAGCAAATTAAACATTTTTCCTTGTAATTTTACCATAATAGATGCTTTTTTATAGAATCATTATCACTACAAATTTATTTAATTTCATTAATTTCTTTGAATTTTACAGCTCTCCGAACATGGCCGGGTTCTTGAATACTCGCCATCTTAGAATAAGGCCTGCCATCTTTCTATATTATTATTAATTTATTGACGATCCATTCCGCCACCACAATACTTACCCCACCTAGTGCGCTTGCGCCCACGAAAAAGCACCAATGCACAGAGATATAGTTTAATAAGCGCGCCTTACCAATATTATTCCAAGATACATTTCTTAGTAATGAAAAGAACAAAAGAAACTTAATAGACCTTCTTATAAACTGCTCTATCAATTATGTGAGTTTTAGTGTCGACCAGGTTGAATCTGATGCAGATACAGTCATCATCCGTTCTGCTCTTGCTGAATTCCAAGCCTATGATTATGTGATTGCCGTAGCAGAGGACATTGACATTGTTGTCTTGCTCGCGGTATTAGGAAGGGAGCAGTCCAATTTTCTGTGTCTAAAGAGTCCAATTTTTTTAAACCTTCAAAAGGGTATAAGTCGCATCAATTATACTGTCCTTCAAGTTTTATATATGAAAACGTCATTGCCGAGAATTTGCTGTTTCTCCATGCTTTTTCAGGATGCGACACAACAATAGTAGCTTACGAGATCAGCAAACTTAAGTTCATCAAAATTTTATAGAAACATCCTGAGTTAGCTACTTTATATGGTGAGAATAAAGATGAGCAGCATGAGATACAAACAATTCGACAAGAGGGTGTTTTTTTTCTTGTTTTCACAGTCTTAGAGTTTATCACCAAAAACTCTTTCGCAAACATTCACGTTCGATACTGAATTAGATCCTGAACAGCATCCTGGACCATCAAAGAAAATGAAAAAAACAACAGCTGGAAAACAACTTTTTAAATATATAATTATGTTCAATATTATCTCGCCTGGAAATTGTCAGCGAATTAGGCCTAATGGGGATACCATTTAAAAAACGCGCCTCCAGACTCTGCCTCTCAGGTGGTCATAAAAAAAGTCGATAATAAACTAATAATACCATAGAAATGTTAACAAAATAAAAAATTATGTGAATAAAAACCTCGATAATAAAAAACTAAGCCTAATGGATCGTTTTTATCGTATTCTTATGAGTATTCAAGAACCTGGTCAAGTTCGGGAGTGCTGTAAAACCCATAGAAACTAGAAACTATAATATTGCTCTGATGTTTTTTATTTTCGTGTGACCGAAAAAACTCAAATAATCAAGGAAATACAAACGTTCTATAAGAATCTTTATACATCTACTATACAGAACCCCGAAACAGACCACAGAACAATTCTAAACGTCGGCTCGGAAACCCTCCCTAAAATAACCTCTTCGGAAATTAGATATGCCTTACAGCAAATGAAAAACAAAAAAGCTCCCGGCGAGGATCGTATAACGTCTGAAATGTTAAAAATGGGCGGCAACATCGTTGTAGAAGTTGTGGAAGTCTTACTGAATAAGTGTCTAACAGAAAAAAGAATACCCAGCCTATGGGAAAACGCCGAAATAATACTTTTACACAAGAAAGGAGACACTACTAATATTGAAAACTACAGACCTATAAGTTTGTTGTCACACTTATACAAATTGTTAACAAGAATAATAACCAACTGCATAACACAAAAACTTGATTTATATCAACCGGTTGAACAGGCGGGATTTAGAAAAGGGTTTGGCGCTAATGATCACTTACAAACCATCAGAACACTAGTAGAAAAAACCACAGAATATAATGTACCTTTACATATGGCATTTATAGACTTTCACAAGGCTTTCGATAGTATTGAGACTTGGTCCTTTTTGTCAGCCCTGAAGGATGCTCGAATAGACTCATGGTACACTACACTCATTAAAAACATTTATGAACAGGCCACATTCCACATCAAAATCAATGAAGACGAAAAAACTGAAAAAATGCGCCTTGATAAAGGTATTAGACAAGGTGATACTATTTCACCAAAGCTTTTTACCTTAGCATTGGAAAATGTATTCAAACAGCTTGACTGGGAGGAAAAAGGTCTAAACATTGATGGTGTACGTTTGAGTCATTTGAGGTTTGCGGATGACATAGTATTGTTTAGTACAGATATCAAGGAACTGGAGCAAATGTTGAAGGAATTAAACCAGCAGTCAAATAAAATAGGTCTCAAAATGAACCTTCAAAAAACAAAAATAATGAGTAATTTACAAACTAATCTTGTTATTGACAACGTCAGTCTTGAAAATGTAGACCAGTATATATATCTTGGACATACCATTAAAATCGGCAAAGAAAATCAAATAGCCGAAATAAAAAGACGCATACAACTGTCTTGGGGAGCTTTCGGCAAATTAAGCTTTATTTTGAAGAATAAAGATATACCAATGTGTCTAAAACGTAGAGTTTATGACAAATGTATCTTACCTGTAACTACATATGGACTGGAGACCATGGCCTTCACAAAGAAAACCTTAGAGCAGCTCAGTACAACCCAAAGAGCAATGGAGAGGGCCATGTTAGGGATTAGTTTGAGAGACAGGATTCGAAATAACGTCATTCGTGAAAGAACAAAAATTACTGATGTCTCAGAACGTATTGCAAGGCTCAAGTGGCAATGGGTCGGACACGTTGCCCGAGACCAAGAGAGAACAGGCGAGGAGTAGGCAGACCGCAGAAGAGGTGGATAGACGATATCAAACAAGTCGCGGGCAAGCAGTGGATGATAATTGCCAAAAGTAGAAATCGATGGAAGCAAATGGAAGAGGCCTATGTCCAGCAGTGGACGAACACAGGCTGAAGAAGAAGAAGAAGATGTTTTTTATTTTAAAATGGCAAAAAAAGTTATAAGGCCCAAAAGAAAACTTGTTTAAACATTTTTAGTTATTTTGGTTTATAAATTTTTTATTTTCAATTTTACGATAAAAAGTAATACAAATAAAGTTGTGGAAAATTTTGTTTTCTACAAATTATGTTTTATAAAATTTTCTGTATGTAGAGTTGCTAATCTACGAGATAATGAGCAAAAACCCTTTGCTTCTTTTTTTCCAAGATGGTGGCGGGGGGCAAGGGGGCGACCTCACAAACTTGAGCTTAAGCTTGGAATAACCACCCCCACACATCAAAAAATAAAATCTCGTCCTCCCAAACATGTAACTTTTCAATGTACTATTAGCATAGAGTATAGTACACAGAATGATTACTTTATTTAAAATATCATTAATAAAATAAATTTTAATGTCTGTAATAAAGTATATATAAATATTATATTCAGTTAATTTGCCTTTAACAGAATAAAATCCAACATTTTTACTGAACATAAAATATAGAAAATTAAATAGTTTACTTTTCAAGTGATTTAAATTAAATCTTAAAGCCACTGTTTGAGGTCCCCTGGAAGACCCCGGAAAACCATATCAATCTATCTACACTCATAAAACCACTAATATTAATACACAGGAAGCAGAACATAAATATTCAGAATTTAACTTAGTCATGGTTTCCAATATCGGTTTTAAAACTCTAAAATTTAAATAGAAACATTACCTTAATATTCGACAAACTAGCCATTAGATCATCGAGTTCCCTAGTTGCGGATGAAGCTGCGGTGTGAGTGACATGAGACGATATTAATTCCGTCTCCCCAGGATATCCAGTCTCCGTTTTAGTTTCTTTTACAGTTATCACTACTTTTTTGGGGCCAGTATATATGACGTCTCTGAAAAGAAAAAACAAATATGAAGAAGAATATCACTATCAGATACATTATCAATTATCAGCGTTTTTCAAAATCGATTGGAAAAGATACTCTCTATTTGTCGCCATCTTTTGTACTGACATATTTTCTGTTTGGAAGTATTTGTCATTTATCTTCTTCTTACGGTGCCTTATCCTTAAGGACGTTGGCCATTACATTTGCCCATTTAATCTTATTTGTAGCAGCCCTGAATAGTTCTATGGAGGTCATGTTCGTCCATTGCCGTAGGTTTTTAAGCCAAGAGTTGCGTCTTCTTCCTGGTCCTCTTTTGCTATTGACTTTGCCTTCGATTATAAGTTGCAGCAGTTCATACTTTTGATTTCTTATGATGTGACTAATATATTGTGTTTTCCGTTCTTTTATTATAAGCATAAGCTCTCTTTCCTTATTCATCCTCCGCAAGACTTCCGCATTTGTCGTATGGCTCATGTAGGATATTCTAAGCATTTTACGGTAACACCAGAGTTCAAATGCTTGGATTCTTTTTTGTGTTGCTTCTGTCATTGTCCAGGCTTCAACACCATAGAGCAAGGTGGAGAAAACATAGCACTTAAGTATTCTAGTTCTCAATAAGATGCCCAGCTGGCGGTTGCATAGAACTTTTTGCATTTTGTAAAACATTGTAAGTGCCTTTTCCAGGCGTATTCTTATCTCTAGCGAGTGGTCCCAAGTTTCATCAAGATTACTTCCAAGGTACGTTGTTCTTGATACTCTTTCCAGATCTGTTCCGTCGACATTGACCTTCATCCTTCTGTTTTGGTGCTTGCTGATGACCATCGTTTTTGTCTTCTTTGTATTCAATTTCATTCCAAATTCTCTACAGGCTGTCGTTACTCGGTCCATTAAGCGTTGCAGGGCTTCAGCATTATCTGCCAGTATGACAGTTATAGGTAAGTATGTCACAGTATGTCATTTATAGGTAAGTTCATTATCGTTAATCGGCAAATACAACATCTAGCTCACTCTATCCAATTCTAAAGGATCAGGATCAAAGAGTTAAAAATTGACTGAAAGGTACCTTGACGTTTACTTAGACATGAAGGTAATATTTCGAAAGTATGTTGAGTAAAGGAAGAGAAAAGCCACCATAGCAAGAAGATATTATAAGGATCAATTCTCCATTATGAAAAATTGACTTACAACAGACCATCCTACTCCAGTAATTATTAAAAGGCCAATTATTCAATATAATCATGGATGAAGTCCTAAATACTGTTAATAAAAGAAGAGAATATAAAATGGGAAACAATGAAATTAAAATGAAGACGGAAATAGGGGATTTCCGTCTTCTTTTATTAATGCTTCTTTCATTTCAGCTACTGAAGGAGGGTTTATTTCGCTGTTAATCGTTTGTTTCAGGATAATTCCATCATAAAGTGCATCCTCCATAAAGTTGTCTTCAATATTTCCCTTGAAGAATTTTGTTTATCGTTTTAGTATTTCACTTTGTTATATTAGATGTCCCCTTTTTCCTCTCTGCATATCATTCTTCTTGGTTTAAATTCTTTTCTACTTTTGTTAAGTTTTCGATAGAATTTTCTGGTTTGTTTTAGTTTATTTAGTGCTCCTATCTCTCGGAGTTATTTTTCTATGATCAGCATAAAATATGCTAACTTTTAGAAATAGCAAAATTATTAGACATCTAGTCGAAATAGGGAATAAGGCTATTACGGTTTGCAAAACATGGATAAGTAAGGGAAAAAGAGAGAGAACACAGATGGGATGAGTAAATACCTAAAAAACCAAGCTGATTCCAGATACACATTGTTCAAGATACAAAAAAATGGAGAAATAAGAGATGTGGAAATCTAAGGCAAGAGAAGAAAACAAGAAAAAAATCATCATTTTATTATTTCTTGATGTTATATTTATACTTTACGTGGCCTATAGTGCTTTAAAAAGAACACGGTTCTTTTAGAAACCGAATGGAAAACACCTAAATAGCATTAGTCATAATAAATACCTATATTTTAAACAATGTATGCCCCGATTTCGCTTAAAACTGATTTTCTAATTTATGGAGAACTGTAATGTGCAACTGACAGTTGTTTACACATGTGGTTCATATACCTGTAGACTATTACCAGATAATTTACTATGTACTTCAAATTTTGCAGAATGTATTCAGTATTTGTTCTAGTTTAAGCACAGTCAAAATATTGTGAGTCATCAAAAAAGCGGAGTTATATATAACTAAAAAAATCAGTTAGACCAGTCAGGGAGGCCACTAAATACCGGCGTATTTTTTTCTTTATATATTACTACAATATTATTGATAAAATGGGTTTCTGGGTTAATACTGCAATATTACAAACAAACTTCATATCGATTTAGAAATTACTTTTGACTAACGCTGTACAGGTAATATAACAGTAAGAAAACATCAAAAGTCCATTGGAAAAAATTCCAAAAATAACTTTTGATTCACTTTTAACTGGAAACCCTATTCATTTCCTTGGGGAAATCTAAGTAGGATACAGTATACACCATACGAGGTTCGTTGAGGACATTCTATTAATTGAGACAACTTAGGACTCATAAATGATGTACCTGTGGCCTTAAAACTTTTTTAAACCCAAAAACGCTGAATATAAAAAGCTGTATTTAAAACAATCAAAATTTGAGTGGCCTTATAACAGAAAATATAATTATTAATAACGAAATTGTACGAGTCCATATTTAAAAAAAAAATGGAACATGAAATCAAGATATGAGGAAAAAAGCAATCAAGCTATTGAAATTAAAATTTATATAGCATTAGCCGAAGTCATATATTAAGAGATCGAATGTTCATGCACCTTTAGTTAGCATGCTGCTGTATCTCTGCGAAAATAGTTTACGTATCTATGAAGAACCGAGGACAATATCATCTTTGTCTCCAATCAAACCGACTAAGAAACCCTAACTCCATCTAGAAATCAATCTAAAACCGATCCAAACCAAACCATCCTCAACAAGAACCTAGCCCTCCCCTCCGACAGCTTCAACAAAACATTTCACACGAACAAAGGGGAGAATTTTGAACAGAAATCCGTAAAGAAACCAAATGAGAACCATTTTTCCTACGGAAGCAGTCTTACAACCTTGACTATTATGTGCAAACTAGATTTTACGTTTGGATTTTCATTACTGCTCTCCAGAGATGATACAGTCGTATTCCACAAGCTGCTTTACCGAACCACAGTGCTACTAGTGACAGTGAAAATGAAGATACAAACAAAGCTCGACATCAAGAAGGTCCACCACATGTAACTTCTTTTATGTATAAAATTCGACTACCTGGAAAAGACGTAAGTATCTGTGCCAAAGCTTTTCGCAGTATTTTCGTTGTTACTAAAATGCAGATCCGTCGAATTAGAAATAGCTTAGTAATGAGTGGATGTTCTCCAAAAGATACCTGGGGCAAGCATACAAATAGCCCTAAGAAGATACACCCTGCTGATATAGAAAATATAATAGCTCACATTTTTTCAAACAAAGGTCGCCAAAGTCATTATAGATATAGAGTCTGTAAAAAACTTCACCCACAGTTCAAGATGTCTTACTTTGTTTACTATAACATATTTCAAACTCGATTTAACATATATTTTTCTTACCCCAGATGTGATACTTCGTACATTATGTAATAAAACTGAAACCCAACTCAAACTACCGAATATCGACTAATCAACAAAAAAGGAACTGCATCAAGTGAGAAACGTTCATCACGCTAAATCAAAGTTAGTTTATGATATAAAACAAAAAATTAAACATAAATGTCAGCATAGTAATAATGTATCTGCAATAGCCTTTGACTTTATGCAAAATCTTCCGCTACCCAATTTGACTACAAATAAAGTTTTCTACAGCAGACAACTTTGGTACTATGTATTTGGTGTACACGACATCGGAGGCAATGATGTCCATATGTATACCTATCGCGAAGGAATGGCTAAACGTGGTCAAAATGAAGTACCTTCCATGATATTTAATTATCTAAAAGATCATATATTCGGATAAATGGATGCAATATGGTTTTTCTCTGATGGTTGTCCGGGCCAGAACAAAAACTACATCTTTATTCGCATTTCATACATCCTGGTGCATGTATTGAAATTAGCATCAGAGATAACACACGTATGCCCAATACGGGAAAATCATACCTACCTTGCGATAGTAACTTTAGTCTCATTTCTTGTGCAAAGAAAGGAGATGTTGATATTCCAGAAGAATGGGATGATCTTATTCGACAGTCAAGGTTCTTTAAATCAAGTTTCTCTAAACCTTCTCCATTTAAAGTGGCTAATGCTGAGAAAGACACTGACTGATTTCTTAAGGACGAAAGCCTTAAGGATATATTTTTAAAGAATCAAAACAAACAATTTCATTGAAATCAGCAAATCAGCCAAAAAGTCAACCTGAAAAGTCAACCAAAGTTTCGTGATCTAATGGAGTTAACTAAAGATCTCAAGAGTCCTCTTAATAAAGAATTATATCTTAATCTAGAACCAGAATCCGGGGAAACCAAGGACCATACTCCAGTCCTAGAATTATTTAGCGATGATAATAACGGTGGCGGCAAATAGATATAGATTTTTTTGTTATTTTTACGAGGATATTATATATGTATATTTTCCAATATATTTTGATAAGTTTTTACCGATTTTAGTGTAAAATATCAATCAAAATATGAAATCAACTTGTACAATTATTTTTATATCCACATTCCTTCCAATGAATATCTTCCAATGTTAAAAGTAAGATTTGAAATAAATTGAAGCTGGGCAGTTTTTCTCGATTTGCCAAAATTTAAATTTTTGGACAAGTGTTTTTTTCAAATAAATGCTTCAATTGACATCATGTTTAGATTTGTAGTCAAATTTCCAATCTAAAACACTTATTCGTTACTCTGAAAAATAGATTAATATTTTTGTGTACACAAACCTTGAGTTTAATAATAAAATGGAAAGTTAGTTATATTA